AACACGGGTAGCCGATGACATGGCAGCAGGTGGATTGGATTGCCAAGCAAAACTAGCGAAGCGTTAGGTTGCCGTGTAGCGAGCGAATATAACGGTGTTTACGCACGCGTGTGTGTATGCGGGTGTGTGACTTAATTACTAGGAGGAAAAGTAACTAAATAAATGGTAACTCAAAATGCGGTAGGTAATTACTATCTGTATTTTTGGTACAAATTACAAAAATTTAAATATTACCCTTATGGGTGAACAACAAATAACAGGTAAATGATGGAAATAACTCACAACAACAGATTGTACAATAATAAATAGGTATTTAAAAGGTATCAATATAAATAATAAGCCCTTCTGGCTCAACAATAAAGAATATTGTGCAGCAATATGGAAATAATTATATATAATCGATCTGACCGTTGACTTTATAAAACAATCTGCAGCTTAAAAATACTATAACGGGTACCATTGCTAATAGCCAACATAGCCGATAAATCCCATTCAATTCCCATCAATAATGTCATTGTCGCTCACTATGCCATTACCTCATAAAGACTTTCAACCCAACCACAGAAAATATTCAGATTGTTCTAATAACACGCACACAACATACGGATCGATAATAATAATAACGGCAATAGAATGTAATTTACTCACAATTCACATGGAGCCCTGGTCAGCCCCTATATTACCTATACTAAAATACGATATCATTGTCAAAAAGGGCACATTTTTTTTTATAAGAGAATCTAACAATTTAGCAAGGTTTATGTTGGAGCAGTTTCAAAGTTAACGAACGACGAATAGGATTATTTTGTTTATGCAATTTTACTAATGGATGTAAGTGTGGAGCTTCTGTTTTGTAAGAAGATATGAATAACATTTTCTTGGTTTTGTTATTATGTTTATTTTTTTGTTTTTTTTGTTCTAGACTGTGTACATATTTTTTCCTAATAAACTTGCTCCGATTACTACGCGTAGAACTTTTTCTGAATTTTCAAGTTATCTAGATGTTACTTAAGGAAAGTCACTTATTTGATTTTCGACACAATTTTTTAAATAAAAAAACTTAAGTGAGGAACAAAAAGTAGGAAAACGTACAATTTCACGATTTCATTTCTTTATAAATACACGGAGATGTTTTCTACCGGTAAGTTGTCTACAGAAAAAAAAAGGCCATAATAATTTTGTTTTTGTTTTTAATTCAACATAAAAATATAATATACATGTACACCTTGGGCGGTCCAAATGAAGTCCGTTGTTAAAAAATCATATTTTGTACTTATAAATAAATCTAAATAAATTTTAATTAGACACAGTTCCTGATATTTATTTTAGCACTACGAACAATTGATGCGCTTTCCCAAAACGTAGAGGATCGAAATTATAGATAGCGAATAGATAGCTAATTAAACTGTGTATTTTTCATATTATTATTTATAATCACACGAAGCAGTTTGTTTGCCGGCCTCCAAGATTTTTAAAGCAGATTTATCATTAAGTAATATTTAGTTCACATGTAAATTGAAAATGCATTTCACAATTATCCATCTTTTTAAGTAAGGATTATTTTTATGACAATAATGATTATTTAAAAATTATAAAAAATTGAATAATAATAAATAAAATAACAATATTCACCCTTGAATATCCGTTGTTCCTCAATACCTCGAATATTTACGAGGATTTTAAAAATGATCAATCTTAAGTATCAACAAAAATCAAAATGCATTAAAAAGATCTTCTATAATGTTTTTATTATAGTAAGAAGGAAAGCTGTAATTTATATTAGATAAGAATTCTGTGGATAAATTGTTTCACTTGATAAAAATGCTTGACAAATTACCAGAAAGTACATTTTTATTTTTTAAGTCGTTCTTAGTGATAAAAAATTAAAAAAAAAACTGTCTTAGTATCTGGAGACGGTTGCAGCTACTATTTTAGATGGCGAGTTGTCGAGAAGGAGGGATATAGAAAAGAATTTGCTTAATATTTGTACACAAATATTAACCATTGTAAACAAAAAAAAAGGTTTCATTTGAGTTTTTTGATATTATTGCTTTGTCAATAATACATACACAATAACAATATACATCAATAATATTGATATAGGTATGGTGTAAATTTAATCAATATACAACATACCGCACACTATCGCTCATTAGTTTTGCCCGGAAAAGTCGATAGATCTCTGCTGAGCACTAAATATAAATCCACTCCAGTTTGGTTGGTGACAATTTACTCGCACTCTACCCATACGGATAACGGTAAAAAAAACGTAAATACAAATAATAATAATCCAAATATTTTCCCTTAAATGTATCAAACCATCTAATAAAACATTAAATAATTATTTAAAAAAATAACATTCGCGAATCGTCATTATTATAGAGAATATGATAATCTCGAACAATATATTTACATCATGTATAAATAATGTTTTTAATTTAAATTTTTAAAAAAAACATAAAATATGTGTATAATGTCATTTGATAAAAAATCATACATTGTACTTGTACGTGACTGGGTTAAAATTTCTGAATATTATTCGGCACTATCGGTAATTTACAAGTCAGCCCGTGGTGGTTATAATAAGACTGTGTATTTCATACACATGTTCATAATATTCACACAAAGGTTTTGGTCCTAACCTAACCTCTACGACTTCAAATGTGGACTTGCTATTTATGAATATTCTGTTCACGTATACTTAAAGAATACAGTTGACAATATCCATCTTTTTAAAAAATGAGTATTCTCACGATAAAAATACGGACTGTCTAATAAAGATAAAAAGATGTAATTATAAATAATAAAAACAATAGAATCATGATAAGGAAGTTATATTTTTTACTATTGAAATAAAGTTTTATAATATTTCAATAACTGAAAGAATATACTATTTATTAACTTTTCATTTATAATATATCATTGTAAACAACTTGAAAAATTATAACTTAAGTATTCTTAAAGAGTTACTTATTTCTTATGGTTTATAATAAAATATTAATATTGTGTCCATTCTGTAACTTTTCTCCTCCTAGGGGATTTTAAGGAAAAACAATTAATTTTGATACGACTTTCCAAGTTTTCTCACGTTTTTTTTCAGATTTTTCCATTTGCTGGTTATCTTTTGAAAAATCGAAAAATTACCTCGCTAAAGTACCCCCAAGTCAGATTCCCCTTTAGAAAACGTGCAATCATTGTAATTCGGAGCAAAAACTTGTAGAAAAGTTGAAAAACATATAATACAATATAACATTAGCTAAATAATTATTTTTACTCATACCCGATAGGAATAATATACATTTTTTTTTTTAAAATTAATATGGAACACTAATGTTATATAAACATGAAAAAAAAAGACCATAATATATTTGTTTTTGTTTTTAATTCAAAATAAAAATATAATATACATTTATACCTTGAGCGGTCCAAATGAAGTCCGTTGTTAAAAAATCATATTTTGTACTTATAAATAAATCTAATTAAATTTTAATTAGACACAGTTCCTGATTTTTTTTTTAGGACTACGAACAATTGATGCGCTGTCCCAAAACGTAGAGGATCGAAATTATAGATAGCGAATAGATAGCTAATTAAACTGTGTATTTTTCATATTATTATTCATAATCACACGAAGCAGTTTGTTGCGAAACAAATTTTATCAGATTATATTTATAGTCGATTTATTATTTAGTAATATTCAATTCTGAAATTTTTTCGGCCTTTTCGGTAATTTACAGGCCAGCCCGTGGGTAGCCATAATTAAACTGTGCATTTCTCATATATTCATAATATTCACATATTTCGTAATCCAAATTATTTAATTATTGATTCCCTACGCCTAACTTATTTTACATTCTATGTTTCATCTATTATTTTTACTTCGTTCAAAACTTTTTTTTGAAAATCATAAAAAATCTTGTGTAGAACCTCAATTGTCCGAAAACATTATCATTTCATCCTCGAATAGTAAAGTACCAATTAATAATAATGGTAATTATTATACTGTTATATATACTGATACTGTTATCAGCAACTGGTGCACAAATTTTGTAACATTACAATAGAGAATCAATAATTAAATAATTTGGATTGTGTTTTACCTTACGTATTTTTTGATTGTAAATCTGTAGAAAATGAATCAAATAATCATCGACCGTATAATTTATTAGAAGTGTGCGGAGTAAAAACGGCGAGACCCGAGACTTCATGAACCCCTATATCCGGCTAAAGGCAGTGTGTTTATATATAGAGTGCTCAGCAGGAAGTTGTCGAATTATACAGTCGTTATTTGTATAGTGAGAATATTATTTAAATGTAAAAAAATTGCTTATTGTAATTTTTTTTTTTAATGTGTACGTGAACAGAATATTCGTAAATCGCAGTAGAAATAGTGGCAGCCGGATTACGAAAAACCTCGTGTGAATATTATGAATACGTGAGAAATACACAGTTTAATTATGGCTACCAACGGGCTGGACTGTAAATTACCGAAAAGGCCGAAAAAAAATCCGGAATTGAATATTACTATATAACAAATCTGCTATAAATATAATCTGATAAAATTTGTTTCGCAACAAACTGCTTCGTGTGATTATGAAAAATAATATGAAAAATACACAGTTTAATTAGCTATCTATTCGCTATGTATAATTTCGATCCTCTACGTTTTGGGACAGCGCATCAATATTTTAATATTGATATAATCATATATCCATATAATATTTATATATAAAAATTATGGCTATAATATAGCCATAATTAAACTATGTATTTCTCATACATTCATAATATTCACACGAGATTTTTCGTAATCCGGCTGCCATTATTTCTACTGCGATTTACGAATATTCTGTTCACGTACACATTAAAAAAAAAAATTACAATAAGAAATATTTTCACATTNACGAGCCACTATATTTGACGAACGAATAAACGATTAAGCCTATATTTATTTTTATTCTGGACATTCCATAGATATTGAATACCATTATATTGTTTAGATGCAGATGTTTCATGTTCTTCGTTCAGCATACTTCAATTACTCAATATTTGGATATCCGGTAACTGAAACACAGTCGATGGTTTTCGCAGTGTTTATGGTTTTTGCTATATTGTTATGTTATGACAAATGGAATCGTCGGCCCTATGAAACATTAGCTAACAAATTGAGAGGTCCGCCGGATTACCCGATTATAGGGTCATGTTTGGAAGGCTTGAGTGGTAAGAGAAACAAATTATTTTATGTTTGTATTGTATTTAGCCTAATAACTGTACATGAAGTATCTTATAATTGCTAGATCACTACGAAAAAGCATTGAATTATGGACAATCATACAATTACGGTTTATTTAAATTATGGGCTGGTAATAAATTAGTCGTTGTCATTTCTAAGCCAGAAGATCTTCAAGTAATTATTTGTTATGAATAAATAATTTTAAAATTTTCGATATAAATGTCAACATTTATCTTGAACATTGAATGTATTAAAAACAATTACCACGGATAATTAACGTCCGTTTAATGTTCTTTCGACCATATTACAAATGTACAATACTACTTTGGATTTAAAAAATATACAAAACAATTAAACATTTAAAATGTATAGTCATATATGATAAAACATTAAATTGAATACGTACTAAGTTAACATCAGAATAGTAATATCTCAAACCTAACATATCAAATGTCTATAAAGGCTTAATAATCACAGTATTCTATAAAAATTAAAAGTCTTTGATCAGTTAGTATCCAATTTAGTAAAATATAAATAGGTAATGTGGACATTTTTCCTGTTTCGATATAAGTATGTCACTTTTCTGTTAACCTACCCCTCCAATCCATAAACAAATTGGGACAGAAATATAAACCACCGAGTATGTAAAATGAGAATGATTTTCCTTTCTACGTGTCACTAAAACACAATCATACTATTACTGGCTAATGATTAGATATAATGATAGTATGTAAACCAAAATTATAGTGTAATAAAATTATTCTAAAAATAAATAAATAAATAATAAATCTTCTAAAAATACATTATAAAACCCGGGCTTTAATATAAAATATACATACTAAATTCAATTTCTAAATCAATTTTTTTCAGATTATTTTTAATAGTTCGAAGGCCTTAGACAAAGGATTTTTGTATAATATGGCTACTAAATTTTTGGGTGAGGGCTTGATAACAGCTCCAGGTATGTTCATATTGTTTATTAGTTTAGCACATTTAATCTTAACGTTCAACTTTGGTTTACCAATTTATTAATGTAGCTATGAATTCAAATAAGTGTTCTTTAACCGAACCTAACCTGGTTAAACAGGTCTTCTAATATTTGTTTTTTTAGATTTTTTTCAAGTTAAAATTTAGGATAGATACTATACTAATTAGTTCCACCATTCAAATCTTCGCATTGCTCAAATGTCTTATTAAAATTATTACAGTAGATAAATGGAAAATACATCGACGTTTGATAAATCCATTGTTTAATTTAATTTTACGAAAATATAAAAGAAATGTTTTTCCCGATTTTTCAAGAGAAATCAAAACTACTAATTNATTAGTTCCACCATTTAAATCTTCGCATGGCTCAAATGTCTTATTAAAATTATTACAGTAGGTAAATGGAAAACACATCGACGTTTGATAAATCCTTTGTTTAAGTACGAAAATATAAAAGAAATGTTTTTCCCGGTTTTTCAAGAGAAATCAAAACTACTTATTCAGAATCTACAAAAGGAAATGGGTAAAACACAACCGTTTGATATCTTGGACTATGCATCAGATATTATTCTTAATACAGTTTGAAGTAAGTATTAAAATCTCTACTACTATGGATATGTGTGAATGTGGAATACATTGTACCATACTATTATACTTGCAGTGATTACTATTAGTAATATTATTGATATTTAATTGACTTTTTAGAAACAACAATGAATTACAATCTCGACTCTCAGTCAGATATGGGTTTCAAAGTGAGTGTCACAAAGTAAAACATGTACACATAAACAAACTAAATTACAATTTATATGTTAGGTCATCTAGTTATGGACTTAAATATTATTTATTTGCAGAGGCTTTGAATTGATAGTTCATAGAGCAACTAAAATTTGTTTGTATCCAGAAATTATATATAATCTTTATATCAAATTGTTTGACTATGAAAAATATTATACAAATGTAAAAAACTTACCAAAGCATGTATGTGTATGTGAGATATAAAAATAAATGAAATGCTTTTTAATTATAATTTTAACTTTTCAGATAATCGAGAAAAAGAAAAACGAATAAGTACAAAAATTTAAAAATAAAATCAAGACGGACACAGATGTAAACGATGGCGAAAGTAAGTTATTGTTTTAATAAAATACTACGGGATAGTTATTTATTAACCAAACTGTAGGTGGTTATCGTGTTAATTGTGTTAAGTCAAAAACATTGATAAATTTAAATTCTGTAATTGTACAAGTTATTATAACTAAAAGTGGTTTTTTTTTTTTAATTATTTAGAGAAATGTTTTCAANGTAAACGATTGCGAAAGTGAGTGATTGTTTTAACGATATACTACCGGATAGTTTTTTATTAACCAAACTGTAGGTGGTTATCGTGTTAATTGAGTTAAGTCAAACAAATTGATAAATTTAAATTCTGTAATTGTACAAGTTATTATAACTAAAAGTGGTTTTTTTTTTTTAATTATTTAGAGAAATGTTTTCAAGGATTAGTAGAAACTTTAATGGACTCAAACGAAGCCGGATTGGGCTTGAGCGATGAGGATATTAAGAGTCATGTGATAACTATAGTAGCGGGTGTAAGATCAAAATACTCCAAATACTTTGATACCACAAGCAATAAATAATTATTATATTTATAGGGTTTCGAAACTACTTCATTGACTGTTAGTTACTGTCTTTTGTTATTAGCTATCTATCCGGATATTCAAGTAAGTTATTAAATAGTTTTTGCTGTTTAAGTATTTGATATTAAAANGCGGCTGTAGGTTCAAAATACTCTTAATACTATGCAACCACAAACAATAAATAATTTGTATATTTATAGGGTTTTGAAAGTACTTCATTGACTGTTAGTTACTGTCTTTTGTTATTAGCTATCTATCCGGATATTCAAGTAAGTCATTACTTAGTTTATGCTGTTTAAATATTTAATAATAAAATACGTTTCAAAAATATTGTTTTAAGAACAGAGTTTAGCTGCTTTAAATATCGTATAATCCACTGTCACTACTACCAATTACTATCGAACAAACGACGAGTCTAGTTTATTTGAAACAAGTAATATACGAAACTCTCCGTTTATTCCCGACTGCACCAGTTATGTTGAGGCAACTGCAAGATGATGTCACAATTAGTAAGAAAAAAATGTATATTAAAAAATAACACAAAATAAAATAACAATTGCTTTTAGTTACAGGTAATCACACGTTGCCAAAAGGAACAATATGCCTTATAACTCCTTTGATTACACATCGGAATCCTGAGCTGTATCCAAATCCCAAATCATTTAATCCGGATAACTTCAATGCCGACAATGTCGCTAGTCGTCATAAATATAGTTTCATTGCTTTTAGTGGTGGTCCAAGAAGCTGCATAGGTATGACAAAATATTGGACTTATAATTTTTAAATTTATTAAACGTTTGTTTTCAATTTCAGGAATGAAATACAGTTTGGTTTTAATGACACTTTTAATTAGTTACGTTTTACGGAACTTCAGTGTGCACACGGATATGAAACTCAGTGACATTAAGTTAAAATTAGGTATGTCATTACACAATACCGTGGGTTTTCCAATAACCATTCAATCAAGAAAACAATAGTAATTTTGTACTTTAATGATGCCGAAATGCTTTCCCGTTAAATCAATTTAATATTTATATATATACTTGAATACTAATACAAATTACAAATTAAAATATAACTAAGGTGTATGTTTTTATGAGTATAATTATTATTAGTGCAACTAATTATGTAGAATATTATCGTGTATGCATTTAAATTTTAATTTTTAACCTCCCGGGACTATAACAATTTTACCACTTTGCCTCTACCACGGATATGAAACTAAGTGACATTAAGTTTCAAATAGATGTATCATAACATATTATCAATGGTTTTCCCATAACTATTCAATTAAGACATAAATCGTATACTACATGAAATATGATTTTCAACTATACCTCTCATTTATCATTTATTCAAAAATCAGAATTAAAACTATAATGATTTCACGATTTTATAAACTATTTTAATTTTTGAACGAATAGTTTTTGTCATATTACAATTTAAGCCGGTTAAGATAACGGGAGATAAAGGACAGATTAAGCACGAAAAAGGCGTTGAGCGGAAAGTGCACGGCATCGTGAACAAATTTAATTTCTTTTCCTACTAAGTTAAAATCTTTTAAAAATATTATTATTACATTTTTGTATACTAGACAATTATAATTTACATAGAAAAATAAATGGAAATATGTATATTTCGAGATCATTTTCTTTGTAATTTTATTTTATTAATAAGACCAGAGCATACTAATACGTCCTCATAAGTACGCCGTAATTATAGTAGATATAATATAAATTAATAACGTGTAATAATGTGCTGTGCGATTAACTATGTTAACATGGACGAAAAAAGAATGACACACTAGACCACTTTTAGACCACCGAACTACCCAACCTATTTTCTTTCGTTCGATATACTGATACGGGAATGATGGAAAAAATAATAAAAATTGGCACGGAAAACGCCGGGCGCAGAACAGCTAGTTAAATATAAAAATGAGATAATTTCATTAAGATATCATTTTTATTTCTATAGGTTGCTTTCCATATACAAGAGTATATGATATAATCCAGTTATTAAATAGTTATTATAAAAATTTTCGGTGTATATTTTGGGGACAAACAGGTTTTCGGATCTTGTGTTACAATTGTGGGTCACCGTATGAGGTAAATTATTTTGTGATAAGTAGTATGAAATTTCTTTATAATGATGAAAATGATGGAAATAACTCACAACAACAGACTGTAAAATAATAAATAGGTATTTAAAAGGTATCAATATAAATAATAAGCCCTTCTGGCTCAACAATAAAGAATATTGTGCAGCAATATGGAAATAATTATATATTATCGATCTGACCGTTGACTTTATAAAACAATCTGCAGCTTAAAAATACTATAACGGGTACCATTGCTAATAGCCAACATAGCAGATAAATCCCATTCAATTCCCATCAATAATGTCATTGTCGCTCACTATGCCATTACCTCATAAAGACTTTCAACCCAACCACAGAAAATATTCAGATTGTTCCAATAACACGCACACAACATACGGATCGATAATAATAATAACGGCAATAGAATGTAATTTACTCACAATTCACATGGAGCGCAGACTGGTCAGCCCCTATATTACCTATACTAAA